AAATAAGTTTTCTAAATCCTGAAGCAAGCCTGTGAAATAAATAGGTAATAAATAGTACTGGTACTAAAAAGCTCCAGGCAACTTGTTCAAGGTCACCTAAAGTAACCACTAAGCATATACACATGAAGGAAAAAATAACAAGGGCTCCAACCATAACCTTCTTCTCCTCCACAGTGATGGCCACTCACGATGCAATGTCCTGGGGCCACAGAGGCCTACCACAGGGACCGATCACATGGGGCGCCCCTCTCGGGCCCCACTCCCTGTATTTTTATACGAGTGAAATCAGGTCTAGATAAGCGCCAAGGTGCGGTAAAGGAGGACATCTCAATCTTGTCACGCCTTCCTGTCTAGAAAATAAAGGCTGGGAAAATAAGGGTATAACAGGAACAATTTCCCTGAGTGAAGGGAATGTATGAAAAACTTGAAGTTCCTTCTAATGATTTTGAGCAGGTGAAGTATTCACTCTTCTTTCATGAGAACACTGGGCCCAGAGTGTGGCAAAGAACAGAGTTTAAAAATGCTGCTTTAGTCCTCCCTGCTCTCCCAACCCAAGGGCACACAGCTTCTGGCAGCAAAGACTTAGGGTCCAGACCACTCAGAGGTATAACTTTTGAGGGAAATCCAGGGGTTGAGTACAAAGAAATAAATCCTGAAAGAACTAGAATCAGCTGCCAAATTCCCTGTATCCTTAGTGGCCTACAAGATACAAAACTAGAAAAGAATTGGAATTATCCTCTAAGAGTGTATGGAAAAATTATGAAAGGAAACTGAAGTCCTAAAGACAAATCAAAAGAAAATGTTAGTGATTATGTAAGAAACAGAGACTAGAAACATTAATAATAAAGACATAAGTACTTCAGAGTTGTAAGTTCATCAAACTAACATTGTGTAAAGAGCAACCACATGACAAAAATACTCAGACAAAGCTTTAAACCTTCCTTGGCCTTCAAAAGTCATGAGACTATTTTGGCTAAGACAAGAAGTGCTTTAGTGAGACAGGGAAAAAGAACTTCCAGACCTCTAGGTGGCTCCCATTTTTAAACAACTACAGGTCTCTTCTACCTTAACAAATGGTCAAATGAAATCTAGCTATTTATGCAAGTCATATGCAAGTCACACCAACAGCTGGGCAATGCTAAAATCCTCAGAGCTGTAACTCTCATTTTTCTACTCCAGTTCTCCCTGCCTTCTTCTCAAATCCGGCACTGAGCAATCAATAGCTGCTGACTAACGTGTTATCACATGGCATGTGTAAGACAATGACAGGGTAAGATTTTTTTCTTTCAGTAATCCTGTGCTGATGAGAAAAGCATAATTATTTTAATGACGTACTTAGAAGAAAGGATTATCTACAACAGAAAAATCACAAGGGTAATGCTAATTAAAAGGTGTCTCAATTTATTACTACAAATTTTTTCCCCAGAGCCCCAATGCATTAATTTTACCTTACATCTGCAAAGGTTGTTTCATATTATACATCAAACCAGCAAAAAAGGAACACGGGATAGTATCGGTCTGGCTTTTCTGTTATGAAAAGCAGATCTGACATGATAAGAAGGCAATCAAAGTAAAACACAAATTGGTAGTACTATCTTATTCATTACATCAGTAACTATTGAGCACCCACTACATATACACAGAACACACACTCTCCCCACCCCCCAGGCTGTGGGTATAGATTAGCAAATAAACCAGGCATTTTTCCTGCCCTCAAGGCAAGAGAGAAACATTAAGCAATTAAATAATATAATTATAAATGTGAAAAATACTGAAGGAAAAGATGAGTGTGCTGTTAGGGAGAAAACAAAGAGGTTCTAATTACATGATGCTAAGGATGGCCCTCAGAGAAGACTTTATAAAAGGATATTTGAACCAGACCAAGAAGATGGTCATAAAATAAGAGAGAGCAACAGCCTGGGCACCAGCCCTTAGTGGGGTCCACTGGGTAACTGCCAATGTGGTGGACAAGAGATGAAGATGGCATGCATGGGCCAAACCACACAGGACCTTGTGGGCCTGTGGAAGATTTTGTATTTTACTCCAAGTACAAATGTGCTTCCTAAGAGCTTTAAACAGGTAAGTGACATCTCTTTCTTTTCCATGATTCATGGGAAAAGAGATCAGAATGGGTGCAGAGTATGTGCAATTGGGAAAGATAATGGTGGCTTGACCTAGAATGGTAGCATAATGGAGACTGAAAAATCAGACAAGTTCAAGAGAGACTTCACCAGAAAAGTGGTCAGGGATTTGTGACAAACTGGCTGGGTAGGGGGGGTGATAGAACAAAAAAGGGAGTACAGGATAACTGAAGCCTTCTGGCTTGAGCCACTCTGGATGGATGAGATGAAAAAAAGCAGAAACAATTTGAAGGCTCAATAATCAACAACTCAGTTCTGGACAAGTCTGAGATGCCATTCACTGGCTAAGATGTGCCAGGAACTACATTAGGTCTCCTACTTGTCCCAGCCGCCCTTTTAGTAGCAGTATCCCCATTTCACAGAAAGCAAATTGTAGATCACAGAGGCTAAAGTAGCATGGCCATGCTCATTCAGCTTGGAGTGACAAAGTCACACCTGCCACTCAAGTCAGGCTGGCTGGCTGTGGGATAAGTATTCTTTCCAGTACACAAAGTTCATGGAAACCATCGCTACACTTTGAATTTTGAAGACTGTTGATGGTTGGAGCAAGCTAACACCCAACGAGAATAAACCAGGTGATATGTTATTTCTTAAATCCAGGTCCTCAGATTTAATGCATGTTTTCCTTTCCCACTACCATCTATACCTACATAGAATTCTGCAATCTTTTGTATACTAGCAAGATATCTATAGCCTTAATGTTTTGCCATAAATAACAAAGCCATTTGCCAGGAATAAACCATAATAAAAAGAGCAACAATAACTAGCAGCAAACACTATTTTTACTCTTGTCATTACATACATCAACATTAGATCAATTAATGAGCAAGAATTCTGAAAAAACTAATCATTTCTCAAAATGAACAAGGCATTCAAGTCAAAAATGCAAGCCACCTAGGGCAGAAGGCTACAAAAGCCAAGGATTATGATTCATATAAAAAAATAAAAAACTTAAAAAAATATTAGGCAAACAGAAATGACACCACAACCACAAAGAATTTAAAATCTGCAATTCCCAGATAGCTTAACCAAATGTCAAATTCAGTAAACATGCACCCTAAAAACACTTAAACATTCTCTCTTCTTTTCAATTGCTTTTCCCTGAAGCATGTTGACACTTTGGCAAACTGAAATACCTTTCCTATCTGCACAGTCCCATGGTTTGCTCTCTATCTGCCCCTCCCTTTTTCTCTCTCTCAGCTCTCTGATGTCCCCCTCAGTTACTGAAACCCAGAAATTAGGCTTGATTAATGAGCCTGGAAGGAAAGAATTAAATGCATTACTGCCAATTGTGGCTATTACTGAAAGTACCAGCTTGAGACTCTTACAAAAAGAGAAAATGAGGAAGGGGTAGATTTTTGAAAGGTTTTGTCATCTACGTTACAAATTACATTTTGTTGGGTCTGATACTTCAACAGAATAATCATCAAATTATGTTGAGCCTTCTTAATGGGGGGTATGGTCACATGTAATTTTTATGGCTCGGGGAGAGTTCTCCATGGAGAGAAATAAAATTAAAAGCGCCATTAATGTGCCTGCTAAAAGATAAATACTCACAAACCACTCTCCAAAATGATAATACTGTGTCCTGTGTCCTGATTCTTGTGTCTACCTCTCCCTGCAGGGGGCTAGCTGGCATTCACTACTTCCCCAACTACGCAAACGACAGGATGCTGAAAATCCATTAAGAAAGCTTCCCATGTTCTGTTCCTTCATAACATGATTGCTAACTCCTGGCAACCGAAAGATTAAAGACTTTACAAAAGAAAAAGAGAGAGAGAGAAAAAAAAAACTCCTTGAGGTCTCCTACCAAAATGAGTACTTAATCCAACTGACAGAAAAGCAGAGATCTACACATGTTAAAAGGGGCTTCCTGGGGACAAAACAGATCTAATGAAGAATTGCTGAGCCACATTATACTGGAAAATCCATAAATGTTGGTCCTCGCCATCACCAGGCTGGAGTCATTTTTTAAAATGCAATGCTTTGATGTATTGACAAGGCTAACCTGATGGGTTTCAATCAGCTATGAACCGTGCCCTGCGTATCTACTTCCTTCTAAACATCAGGGTCAATACTGACCCACAATTATATCCCAGGCTTGGACTGCTCAAGATGCCATTTGATGCTGAGAAAGTAGTGATTTAGCAACACCAGGCGGCTCTATGATGCTAAAATAACAACGCAACGCTCGATTATAAACCAGGTACTCGGCTTGTAAGACTCAGTGCAGCACAAGCACCCACATTCAAAGCTCACACCCTTTCAAGTGAAATCTTAAGTTTCCTACGATTTACCCTCTCAAAGTTTCTAGCGTGCAAAAAAAAAAAAAAAAAAGGAATTACTCTGAAAGTCCCCTCTTCTGGACTCCCCTCCCTATACGGGCTGGCAGCCAAGGGGAATAGGGACGGTGAAGGGTTCATCGTTCAGACAAAATTAAAAAACCTATAAACCAATCACTGTTTCAGAGAAGAAACGAAGCCTTTCACCAAACCGCCCCCCGGCAAGCGAGCATCCGATTTCCATTTGGAGGAAAAAATATCAGAGAAACCAGACATACATTTCCCTTCCTAACAAAAGTGGCCTCTAAACTCCCTTGCCAAGGACACTGGGAGGAAACGGAGAAGCGAGGAACGAGCTCGTACTTTTCAGGCAGACGCATGTGTGTGGCGGGGAGAACACGCAAAAGGGAACACAGCAAGGGAAAGGTGAACGGGAGGAAATGAGGTGGGGGGCAGAACGGGCGAAGAAGCCCCAGGTGCAGAGAAGGGGTCTGGGACTCGAAGGTTTAGGGAGGAGGAAGGAGGGATCCCAGATGCTGCCCAGAAATCGCGGCCGCCGAGTAAAGTTAATACTCACTCAGTTTCGCAACTGCGCCGCCCCCGCAGGCCGCCCGGCGGGACTGGCCTGGGCGCTGGGGACGCGGCGGAGCCCGGAGCCCTGCAGCCGCCCGGCGCCCGTCCCCGGCCGTGCAGCTCCGCGCGCCTCCTTCCGCAGCGCTCCGCGGACCGCGCTCCGCACCGGAGGGAGGCCCCGGCGCGTCCCTCCGCGCACCTCCCCGGCCGGCGCTAGGTGAGTGAGGACGCCCCTGGTGGGGCTGCGGGAGTGTGCGGGCGCGCGGGCAGCGGCGGCGCCGCAGCCGGAGGGAGCGGCCCCCGGCACCGCCGCCGCTGCTGCGGGAAGGCGGGCGAGGTTGGGCGAAGAGCCGGGCGGCGGGCGCGGTGCGGGGCAGCGGCGAGCACGGGCAGCGGAGTTGGCGGCCGGCTCGCTCCCGCGGCCGGTGTCTCAGGGCTGGGGGCCGGGCCGGGGGCCGGGCCGGGCGGCCAGCGGCTCCGCCCCTCGCGGTGCCGCGGTCTGAGCGCGCGAGTAGAGCGGTACGGGGCGCCCCCCTCGGCCAGGCGCTCGGGTTACAGCCGTGGCTCCCCGTCTCCCCCGCCCGCGCCTCGCCGGTTCGCCGGCGCCGGGAGAGACATTGTAACGGAACTGGGACGCCAGCGCTGCATTGTGGGAGCTTTTGAAACGGCGGGGAGTACGGTAGGGCCGCTCGGGCCCATCGGGCCACGCTCGCTCGGGCCCCCGCTGCCTTTACGCCCGCGACACACTCCCAGGTCACCGAGGCCTGCGGGCTGGAGAGCCAAAATGGTGAGATGACCGGTGCCTCACTGACTCTCACGAGAGCAAAATCTTCCATAGCCCGGGGTGACTCTCGTAAAACTGCCCTCTATGGTCACCCCGGAAAGTAGGCAGCTTTCCCCACAGACAAAAAAAAAGCCCTGTCAACCTCCAGGACTGGGTTTGAATGGCTTTCGTCTGGAGTGGCAGTGATTCAGCGACCCCCTCCTCAGCAGCAGGCAATGACAGAGACAGAAATCACAAAAAACAGGGAATGAATCAGACGTGAGTAACCAAGTTTAGAAAAAGCTGGGCTCAGATTCAGGACCCTCCCTCCCCTTAGCTCTCTTTAAATACTGCAAATACTGCAGATAGTTAAGGAAGGAAAGAAACAATGCTTTCATCTAGAAATGCAGATATGTATATGTTATTTTCACTATTCCACTTTTTTTTTTGGCATGCAATTACTCTAGCCCCTGGACTAAATTCAGACTTTGGTTCAACTTGTACTCACACTTGCCCATAACTCTGCAACAGCTATTAATTTGCAGGGAAGTGGGGGGTGAAAATAATGGATGTGATGCAAGACAGTATCCCAATGATAAAAATGCCCCTTTTAATTTTCCAGATACTTTTTTATTAATCATCAAAACAAGGATATTAAATTGGAAGCATAAGTTGTGACAGCTCATCTTACTCAGGGCCTGATGTGTTTTGTTTGTCTTGAGTTTGGGTTTGTAGGCCTTTGGTTTCTTGTTTTTCGACCTTTAGTTACTGCACAGCTCATTAGTTCCTCTACCTCAGAGGTTAATTGAGGAGAGAGAAATGGTAAAACTCAGATTTGGCTAAGCAACATTTGGAGGATTTGGGGAGAAGAAGAGTTCTCTTTGATTCCAATGTGAAAACCAAGGGAACTTCATTTAAAGATGATTCTGTAGGACAAGGATCCTTTTCTCAGAGTTTTCAAACCTTAACGCAACCATTTCCTAAGTTCTCATTCCCTTGTCAACCTTTCCCTCGACTGAACATTCAGTCACCACCTGAATTGCCAGTCTCATGGAAAATTTTAATCCCCATCTTTGTGGCATTTGCAAATGTTGACTTCTTTCATCTTTGAACTTTCCTCCCCTTCTGTTGTTGTTGTTGTTGTTTATAGTCATCCCTCTTTTGTGGTGGTCTGTGATAGCAGGCAGGAGTGCAGCTATAGTTAAACCCAGATTCCAGATCATACCAAGTAGAAAGCCTTAGTACAATTTCTGTTGGTCACCAGTAGGGACCTGACATCGATTTATCATGCATCCAGGGCTGAGCAAGTTGCCTGACTCACGACATCCAACTTTCATGAGACTGGCGTGTAAATTGGGATGAAATGTACCAGGTTTGGATAACCGTGGGCACTATTTAGAAGAAGCACTTACAAGTATTGATACAGCCCCACCTATAAGCTGGAATGTGCCTTACTGATGGCTGTTGAAGTCAGTAAATTTACCCCTGTCCAATCCCGGATAAATCCAGATAAATCTGTTCCCTACCTCAGTCCCATGTGGTTAATGCATTCTTTCTTCAGGGTATAGTGCAATTTGTTTTAAGCTTTCTTAGCTATAATCACATCCCTGTTAAGCCTCCCCCAGATCACACCAAATGTCTTTGACAGGAGTTGTAAACAACTATTTCTGGTTTCTAATTATATTCACAAAAAGTAACCTAACTAGAAATCAGTGAGTATTCATGCACTTCAAGCCCTTGGACATAATCAGATTTGAATTCCAAGAAAAGAATCTGAGAGGATAGATTCAGAAGGGAGGAGAACACCGAGGGAGAGCGACTTATGTGGAAAGCAGTGGGAATACATGGGGCGGGGTGGGGGCAGAAGGGACAGCACCTAGGGATATATAGTTACGTACAATTAAGTTTCTGTTGCTAACTATAAACAAGTTACTATGACTTAGTGGCTAAAAACAACAAGAATGTGTTATCTTACAGTTCTGAGGTCAGAAATCGTAAAATCAAGGTATGGGCTATGTTCTATCTGGAGGCTCGAGGGGAAAATCCATTTCCTTGCCTTTCCCAGCATCTAGATGCCATCTGCATTTCTTGGCTTGTGGCTTCTTTCCCCTATCTTCAAAGCCAATGGCATAGCATCTTCAGATCTCTCTCTTTATGACTGCTGCTTCATGGTTAGGGGACCATCTCTTAATGTAGGTGGGCAAAGATAATAGCAATTGGTGTAGATACGTTTGTAGTCCTATATGCTGTGAACTGAATTGAATTGTTTGAAGGAAGAGATTTCAGTGTCCCTATTACTAGTCGAATCGTCAGAGGGATTTGCTGAAATGGTCACTCCTTAGTTCAACCAAATCATGGGTCTATCAGGTCGCTTATGAAACTGAAATCCAATGAATTAACACACTAAGAAAACCAGGTTCACACCTGCAGTTTCTGGGTATAAATCCCTTCCTCTGGAAATCCCTGGCAAGTCATATTGCTGAGTTTGAGAAATACGTCTCTAGACCAGCATTTTGGTCTACCACAAACTGGTCCAAACTGGTCCACCACGAACATCACCCTGTCAGATGGGTTGCTGAGAAGACAGGTGCTCCATGCTTCAACACTGTCTGTGGAACACAGCTGTGACTGCAGTTTAGGCCGGCCTAGAAGCTTATCAGTGGGTCAGATCCACGCAGGGCAAAGTGTCAGGAGATCCTTTCATGAGGAAGTCTAAGGAAGAGACAAACATTTTTGTCACAGCAAATAGGTGCATGTGCTGGGAGGAATAAATTATGGATTTTTGCATATAACATCAGTTTCTTTTTTATGTAGCCTTACCTATCTTTCTTTTTTCCTACTTCTTTCCCCACTCTCTGTTTCACCCAGATTGCTTGGAGCTCCGTGACCTTTCACACAGTGGTTCAGGACCTCTTCGCAACTCTCCTATGACATTACCCTGAACTTGCTCCTTTACTTGTGGAGCCGTCACTCTCCTTTCCCAAGCCCACCCCCACTTCTTGAAACCAGGGACTGTGTTGTTCTCACTGTATTCTCCAAGCCTGCCAGAGGGCCTGGCTCAGACTGAGAACTCAATTATTAGTTGAAATAACAAGCAAATGAATGACAATAAAAATGGAATAAACTACTGCCCCCTGCTCACATGTTATAATTTTCTTTGATCTTCATTCTAAACTATTACTAAGATTCCTTTTTTTTTCTTTAATTAATAAACACAAAAAGAAACATAATAAGCTATGGTATTGTGCTAGGTTCCAGGATTACGAAAATCAATTTGATATAATTTCAGCCTTCTGTGAGCTCAGAGTTCATTTTAGGAAACATATCCTAAAAAAGAAAATGAGACAGATAATGCTAGCTGCCTATCCCACTCCCTTTCTCCCTTCTTTCTTAGTAACAAAACCCTGACTTTGTGCCCAGTAAAAAATTTCATTTCACAACCTTCCTCACAGATAAGCATTACTAAGCATAGGCCAATGGTATGTTTATGGAGGGTGTTGTGTAGGGCTTCCAGGAAAACTCCTTATTTGTGTGTCTGGTGGTGGGGTGCTGGCAGGGCCGACTGAAGCCCTGTTCTTGCCTGGAACATGGATGTGATAGCTGGAGTTACAGCAGTAATCTTGTGACCTCAAGACTATATTGAAACCCAGTCTATGCTAAAATTTGTACAAATGGGGTCATTTAGAGTTATTCAGCCTATCTTATAAGTCTTTATTTAATCACTGTTAGTAATAAGTTTGGAAATAAAAGAAAAAAGCCTTCTATTCCCCTTTGGTATATGTGTGTGTAAAAAGCAAGAAAATGTGGTATTCTTTCCCATTCCTAAGGAAAATCTTATGTACATATTGAAACACTGCAAAGATCTATAAATATTGTGATTTATTTGATCAACATGAATGGGCTTTTTAGAAACAACCAATAGCACTCAGATATGTGGAAATTTTAAATTTAATGATAGCTTCTTCTTAAAAAATATTTAGTTACCAAATCATCAAGGACCCCTTAAAAGACCCTCTAATAATCTGATTGGGCAGGAGGGTGATGATCAGTATATTTTGCTAAACAGTGAAGTATAGTATGGAAAGAAAATAAATGGAAACTACAACACATTCTACCAAAAGGGATACAACTAAATGTATTCAGAAATAGAATTTAAAATATGATTGGATCTTTATTTAGGTAGATGTTTTTTGAGAGGATAACCCCATGAAAATGAAACAGTCTTAGTTTTTTAATTGTAGGCTTAGAAGAATGGATTTAGTCAGCTGAAATTAACTATAGGGGATTCTACAAGAGCTTATTCTAGGATCAGTGTATTGGGGAAATCAATGAATGTGGTGGCTGATGTTATAAATACATGGAGTAAAAATCTGGTCTGCCTGGCATTCTTTCAACCTGAATGCCACTCATCAGTCTCCCCACACTTCTGCAATAGGGGAATTGAGGTTTATAATGATGACCCTAATATGACTTCTGAATCACAGCAGAAAGATTAAATTATCTTCTGCTTTGCCTTCATGTATTTAATTATATTTTTATTAATTGCAAACTAGAAATCAGATCTGTTTAATAATAATGCTGCTAGACTAACCAGAGCCTCCTTAACAGGGACCCAGCCAATCACAATAGCAGACTTTACAGTTCATGGTGTGGGGGCAGAAATACAACTGATTA